TCCCTGGTAGCAAGCTGACGTCAAAATAACATCTTTTGACGTTAAAATGACGGTCTTCGACGTCAAAATGACGATAAAATGACGACAAAATAATGTAGCTTGTTACCAGGGATATGTATGTACATACATTCCTATGCTTTTCAATCTAAAAATATCAGCTTTTTCTATCCATCGTGAATAGTGTAACTCCAATGCATTTAGAGTGAGTAGGAACTATGGTAGGAGCATGTTGGAGCATGTTGGAGCTTGCGACGCGAACAAACCTATAATGTTACAATCCGGAGACACGATACTGTCTCGGTATTAACAAGGGAAGTTTCACAACTATCCGGAACCGATTTGATTTTCCATGAAATATGTTGTAAAACACGAAAATCTAAGAGACACGTATTTTCGTGTTCTACAATATATTTCATGGAGAATTAAATCGGTTCCGGACAGTTGTGAAACTTACCTTATGAGTCAAATTGACAAACAATTTAATAATTGATAAAAATTGGTAGAGAGACACACCTATCATGGAATGTAGCGAAGACCAGTATTTAAAATTTTTTTTCTATTCAACTGGATTCAACTGTATTAAATTCAGTAAGACTGAAAAACTGCATTCCCTATTCAAAATTTTGAATTGAGCACTATTCACGATGGATAGAAAAAGCTGATATTTTTAGATTGAAAAGCATAGGAATGTATGTACATACATATCCCTGGTAACAAGCTACATTATTTTGTCGTCATTTTGTCGTCATTTTGACGTCGAAGGCCGTCATTTTAACGTCGAAAGATGTTATTTTTATATTTACTTCAGTTTCGGTTTATCTATTGCGTTTCGAGCTCGACAAATAAACGACGCGCAGTTAGCTTGAACTAGAAATTGTAAAATTCACACAAAAATATTATTAGGCACCAAGATTCATATTTTAATCGACTATGGCTTTATTCACTTATTCGATTAATCACATTATAAATTTCTCATAGAAAATTAACTCACCATTGATAAATATTACTATTTTCTCTTTATCTCTTTCTACTTTTCACTAACAGGTTTGTAACTGATCAACTTACGAATTTAAAAAATATAGAAATTTTTAAGTAATTATTGTTTGAAAAAGGCAAAGTCTTTATTTCGATCGATTTTTCAGCTACTATTATTTATAACAATTATTTTACACGTTGTTAATGGTATATGCTACATACACTTATCGTGCACATTGCCATAACATCTTTTTTCATCAGAAATTTTACGTTTCTCTTACGTTAATCCACGAAAGTGGATAAGAATTTAAGCTTTTTCAGCGATGCAATAGATTAGACGTGAAAAATCCGATATTAAATCATATACAATTAGATAATAAGTATTCAAGGACTCTGTAAATTTTCACATTTTCACGTACATTTTCTTTTCGCTTTTCGAGTTGACTATGCTCGCTTTTCTCGCCAACCTTAGTGTACCAATGTGGCACAATGTCCCACATTTGGTACACTAACTATTTGCGGTAATTTTCTCTTTGGTTTTACGGACACGCGTACATGTGTGTAGGTATATATGTACGTTTATTCGTGATACACGTACGGATGACACAGCCTAAAGAGCCTTATGCTATAAGTCTATAGTGATGCTGCAGTAAAGTAAAAATCGTTTCACTTTCACTTGCGTTTTGAAAATAATAGCTCTTAGTTTTCTCTCTTAGTCAATCTCTCTTAGTTTTCCTGTTGAAATTTTTCGGAGATAGCGAGATAGAGAATCAGTTCGATACGTTGTATAAACCAAATTGTAGACAACTAGTTGGATTTGCTGGCTCCTCGCCGTGTGTATCTGCCTTTCCGAAGCAAAGAATAAGATTAGAAGACCTTCATCTCCATCGTATGCTTCTACATTGATATTAAAAAAACCTTGGCCTATTAATCAAAGAATATCTATGGGAAACACCATTCATATTGGTGGTAGTCTGTCTCATCAGAGAGTACCTTACAAGCACGCCAATGTCGCCAATTATAGGTAAAAAGTTCTGAATTTGTGGGCATTTTCCTTTCTATTACATCACGATAATTTCATTCTCAATTTTAGAATTCGTCGGCCAATATATAACGTTTTGTCGACTAGCTGGAAGAATCAAGTTCCAATGCGAGCAATATCCCTGAATAACCGGCCAATTTTGTTACAACGTGCTTCCACTAAAGAATTATATTCTATAAACAAGGTACCGGAATACAGTCCGGAATACAGACCAGAGTTAGTAATTTTGCCACCTACTCATCGAGGAGGTATCGATGACAATAAAGGACCTATTCATACGATTCCGGCACCAAATTTAAGCCCAGCAGATAAGCCATACAATACGGCTACCAATTTGGAAGATACCGCGGATCACCGACCATATCGACCATCAAGCGACCTCAATTACCACATTCCTGTACAAAGTAAGTACTAATTTTTATTACATTACACAGCCATACTTATTTGAGCTGGATAAGATGTCGAGATAGAGATGATGACCATCGATGGATATTACTTTTGCACAGATCCTAGAAGAACCACTTTTGGATTAGCCACTGTTAGCGGTAGTTTATCATCGCAAGGAACAGTGACAAGCTCAATTCCGCCGCAACATCAATATGAAGTTACAGAAAGCAACGATGTAACTCCAAAGCAACAGCAAACAATTCAGTCGGCTATTTTTCAACCGCAGGATTTAGATACAACGAAGCTGTACTCAATTATAATTAACAATCCTCAGCCGCAATCCAAAGAGCTCTTTGCAAATCACCCAATGAACTCATTGTCAGATACGAGTGTCCTAGATTCGAATGTACAATTTGGCCAGTCAAACATGCCAATGCAAACGAATCTTCATAGTTCTCTACATGTCGGATTTCCTTCTACTGCAATTCCGCAGATACCGTACGCCATAGCGCAAAAGATACCAGCAGACCTTCACGTAGGCCATCCTGCTCCAGCAGGGCCACCATTATCAGTTCCGCAACTCTACAATTTGTTAAATAATTTTCCACCTAAACTTGCCGAACGATATACAACAGGTAAAGCATCTATTTGGAATACATTATATTTTAGGCCGATTTAGGAGGAAATCGTTGTATAGTAAACTGTTGTAGTAGTAGGAACTGTTACAGCGTAAGAAGTGAAAGTCAATTCTATTCGTAATAAAATATTCCTTCGGGCTGCTCAATTCTTTTAAAAGAATCGTAAAAGCGGTAATCGACTTTATCATTTCAGACATATTCACTTCGAAATATTGTTATTGAGGAAAAATTTCTAACAGCATATGATTGAAAAGAGATAAATTACGCACGCACGCACGCGCGCACACACGCGATTCTAACAATTATAATTATTAGAACTGTAGTTTCTTCCTTAGTAAACCGTACAAAAGAATACTGACATTAGAATAAAAGCTATTTGTCAAATTCTTATGATTATTAGATCAGCAATACATCCTTCAACAACAACTCGGCCAAATACCTGACCCAGATGCAGTAACTAGCTTCTCTCAACCACAAATGCATTCCTTCAATTATGATGAACAGACTGACCAGTTACTACAGCGGCGAGAGCAGCAAATTTTACCCGATCAAGATTACGCTTCTGAAAGTGTTACGGCAGATTATAATCTTGATTCAGAATCTTCCTTTGACATACGTAAACAAAATGATAATGTGCGCTCCAACGAAGAACTTACGTATTCTTTAGATGGGGCAAACGAACAATCTGAAAACAATATTGAATATGAAGAAATGACTCATAAAAGAAATCCGACCAAGTATTTCGATAAAGTGGCCGACGATAGTCCTATATCGACAAGATTCTATACGACACTTCCCAATAGGGAAACTGCTGAAAAATTAGCCGCACTGGCCGCTGCTGGTAACATCAACAGTCGTCTTATTGGCCAGCTCCGAAAACAACAGAAAAAAGATATGCAGAAAGATGAATCAATGCCGCTTAATCATAAGAACGATGATGATGATGATGATGATGATGATGATGACGATGATGATGATGATGATGATGCTGATGATAATGATGATGATGATGATGATGATGATGATGGTGGTGGTGGTGGTGGTAGTGATGATGATGATGATGATATAATAAATTATGACAAGTCTCACATCGATGATGATCAACAACAAAAATACAATCAATTGAAATCAAACCAGAATAATCAGCAGCATCACCGACGAAGTTATAAAGTGCAACATGATGAAAAGTTACCTCTACAAATTACAGTACCCGACGAAAGTGATTACGCTACAAGCGACAACAATCAAAGTGATGTAAAGAAAGACGATATAGATATCGAGTACGAGTATGAGAATGAAGATGGAGAAATTGAAGACATGCAATCGACTTTGCCCGATGTAAATACGACATCGCACGATAATGACTCTCATATTTTGTTTGGCAATCGTTTGCGTTCTTAGAAAGCTGGAAAACACAAATATTATCGAACGCACATACATATATTACATTAGTAATTGATGGGATTGCTAGAAAAAAGATAGTACAGTGTAATTAGTAGTAAGTTGTAATTAATAATTTATTTCAAATTATATTTATATCCGTGCGCCCGTATTAGAAGATATGTGTATGTACCATATATGTTGCGACGTATGTGTTTATTATCTCGTTGACAAACAAGCAGTGAAAACGATTGTAAAATTTTACTCATGTTGCCTTGAATGTTCACACATCATTGTTTGGCAAGGGCATATATGTATGCAACATATGTGTTACATATGTGTAATGGGTAAATCAATAACAATTTCGATATATACAACTTCAACTTCGAGATATACTTCACTCAAAGTACAAATTGTTAGTTTATGAAATGCATGTATCTTTAACTTTCTCTCGCCTGAGTGAGAACTTAATGAATTTTGAATTTATAGTGTTCAAAATTGTCATCAACTGGCAAATATATATAACAAATGCCTCTATGCAAAATTGGAAGGAAATTATATTATTTTTTATTTATTTCTTTATTATTATACATTTGCAAAAACAGAAAGTTAGTGTACTTAGTAAAATATACAAGACAACTTACATTAGATTCTTATCGATTGTTCGAATTTTGTTTTAAACATTATAAGAAAATAAAGAAGAAAACGTTACTACAAGTGATCTATAAACCATGGCCTACCGTCATTTGCAAGCCGTTTCGTGAGAATATCACAACCGGTCTCTGTTACTAGAAGCGTATGCTCAAATTGCGCTGACCATTGGCCGTCCAGTGTAACAGCAGTCCAATTGTCAGGCCATGTTTCGTCCTTCCATGTGCCTTGAGATATCATTGGCTCGATTGTGAAGCAGTGTCCAGGTTTCATAACACCTACTGCCTTATTTTCTAGATAATAAAGTTTATATGACTTTTTGATTGAAAGGACACATTTAACTTCACTTTGGGGAAGCTACTTACTAGCATAATGTGGTACATTTGGTGCGGTATGAAATAAACGATGGATTCCGTGACCACAATAGCTACGAACCACACTGAAGCCATGCGCTTGTGCATGCTTTTGTATGACATTACCAATCTCTCTGTATTTTTCACCAGGTTTCACAATGTCAATAGCTTTAGACAAGCATTCATATGTTACTTCTACTAACTTTTTTATTTCCGGTTTTACATTACCCACCAAAAAGGTCTCATTCAAATCTCCGTGAAAACCGTTGTGATATACGGTAACATCAACTGGAAAGAAGCAATAATTAGGTGATATCTTTGGTATGTTTAAGAGAAAGAAACTTTTCTTATATGATCAGGTTTGCCACAGAAAATAAATTTTCTTTAACTTTAGAAAGTTTTCCAGATAGCGGAAAATTTTCCATGACCAATATCAAATATGTAATCTTAAATTTTAACAACATTAAGAAAATGAATCGAGAAATATTCAACACAAATAAGTGCCACACAAAAGGAGGATTAAATATTATTCAGTCAAGGCGGTCTTAGTATATCTTAATAATATTTTTGTGTGAATTTTTATGATTTCCAATTCAAGCAAGCTGTGCACCGATTATTATTTGTCGGTGTTATAATATAGCCTTAAATTGAAGCTGTAAAATATGTAATATTACAAATTAAATTGACAAGCAATTTAATCAATAAACTGATTGATTGATCAATAAACTACGAGCAAGCGAGAGTAAATAACTGTGAGGTAATCTGTGTGCTGTAATTATAAAATTAATAAAATGTAAAATATAATTACAATTTCGTTATACTTGTGATATAACATTCAATCAAACATTTCGATGAACTAATTTCCAGGCATCGTCAGCGATATGTATTATTAAAAAGGTAAAAGGTTTAGAAACTCGCGTTCAAAACAAAATAAGTTCCCCAAATGTAGTGGGTAACGTCTCTTCTATAATTACTACAGTTTGAGGAGTACGACCGTTTATTAGTTTCCAATCTAAGTGAATTCTAGAGCATCAAGAAAAACGATGATTATTTACTAAAATTTAAATTAGCTGTAACGTTCAATCGAATATTGCGCCACACATTTATAAAATGTAACGAAATTGTAAACATACTTAATATTTTATAATTATAATTTTCTAATTAATTTCTAATACTGATCTCTACACAGTTATTTATTTTCACTTGCTTTTATGTATGATTATAATGTTTGAATTTTGAGAGTCCATTAGTAGTTAATTTATTGTTGAAATAATTTAATGCTACTGATGCTAATAAGTATAATAGATATAAATAAGTTGACATTGATCTAAACATGCAAAAAGTAGTAGTGAAAAAACAAAAAAATAGAGGAGCTCCTGCACACAATACGTGGAAACTTTTGTGTTTATTGTGTGATAAAAAGGGAAGTCAATAAACTTCCAAATCTTATAGAGAAACGGTGTTGCAAACAAAAAATAGGGTGCTTTCCAGTAAGGACACAGTCAGACACTGTGTAACACAGTGAATCGTTTCAGTCTTGTTTAACATAGGCAAACAATAAGAATGTAATGATTCACTGTATTACACTGTGTCTGACTGTGTCCTTGCTGGAAAGCACCCATGAACAAGAGAGCATCTCAAAAGTGTCTCTTTGTAATGTCTCTCAGTAATATGTAAAAAATGATTTATTAAGAGTACAGTTTTTCCATATTTTGACTATAAAAGTTAGATATATTTACAAAATTATAAATACTCTTTAAAGTAAGAGCATTTAAGAGAATTGTGAGAAAAAGCTCAAAATTCTAAGTTGTTTTATATTTTTTCCCCGACCTTTCCAGATTTTCTAGGTCTGTGACAACCCTGGTGGCATTATGATATAATATTGACAAATTATTTACCATTACAAATGTTGCCATCTTGCAAGGGTCTGGTATCAGGTATACCGTGGCAAATTACTTCATTGACAGAAGTACAACAGCTAGCAGGAAACTGATAATAATTTAATGGCGATGGATAACAATCTCTTTCAATACAAGCTTCATGTACCACTCTATCAATTTCAGACGTTGTAACACCAACGTCACATGTCTTTGCAGCTTCATCCAAGACTTCTCGACCAAGCTATGCAAAATTCAATTTGGAATATGTTAAAAAACAAAAAAAAAAAGAAAATCCAGAGACATCGATCAGTCTATGAGAATCTCAACAATATTACTCCCTCCCTTTCCCTCTCTCTTTTTTTCTTTCTCTCTTTGTGTTGCATCCATGTTATTCCAGCACAGCGAGTACATATATACTGTACCTTGCATGCAACTCTCATGCCTTCGACTTCTTCATCATCAAGAATTTTTATTTGGCCAGAACCTTTTACAGCTTGCTCACTGAGTGGTATCCCAGCTGGATGTAAGGCATAATCTGGTCGAACGATACTCTCAGGAACCTCTCTACGTTGTTCTTTTTTGTATGGCCGTAATTTTCCAGTATAATTGTAAGTAGGCCAAGGATTATAAGTGTCAGACATTTTATTTCCATTTTCTCCTTCTAATGCACAAATGTATTACACTTAATGAGTAATACATTTCACAAAAAATCATAGAGTTAATAAATGATATACACACAAAATACTTACTTGCCAATTGATGAATAACTTTATGCATTTTCCAACTACCTTTGAAACAATTCTGAAAATTAGAATGCTACGTTAAGTGTGTGATTAATTTAATAAACAGTTTTTATTAGAAAAAATGTAACACTATACTTTATAAAGTGATAAAAGCATTAATCACCATTACAGTTAAATGTAAAATCAGATCAGAAATAAAAGTAAAAATAAAAATAATACTAATAATTTCATAGGTGCATGCATTTTTTTCAGATATTTGATAAAAATTCAAGTCATTTATGAATAGTGTAATAATAACTCGCCGGTTCGCATAAAGGAACCACGGCAGTATCTCGCGCCATGCTTAGTGCTGAGACACTACCATGTCTCCAGATTTTCTCTTGTGAAAGATCCAAGTAGAATCATGTTTCACTATTCTCGCCAATTACGTATAAAAAATGTTAAGTGGAGAAATTATATATATTATCCATTGCGATAGCAACAACTAAAATCAACAAGAATTCTAGAATATAAGGTAATAAATACTAGGTAATACTAGGTATAATAAATCAATGATTAACTTTGCGAATCTCTTAATGGAAGTTGACTAATAAAGATTTCGGGAATCGCTAAAAAACTTTAAAAACATTAGATCCTCATTTTAATTAATATCGCGGTTGATATTAATTTAATACACGCTATAAATTCGTGACGGAAGAAGATTAAATTGAGAAAGCGAAATAACTAATTTAACCTAATAAAATGGAGTAACGTGTAACGGAGTAAGTGTCTTACTTGGCTACAGAAATATGAACCCTGAATGCCGATTTTTAAGCAAGTCGGACATTGCAAACTCGCAACGGCGTTACACCCGGGTGTTTCGCACATTCCAAGTGCTATCGACATTGTTAAATTTAATTTTTCTACTGTCGTATGTATGTATACGTAATGTATGGCAACGTCGCGTACGTACAATCAACAATCGTGCATGTACACATGTACAGTCGCATACGTAACACATTGTCACCAGGGGATCGATTCTGGTTGTGTTCCGATAGCTGTGTCGAAAATTTTCTTTTTAGTTACAAAGTTGGTAGCGCTGTAATTAACATAGCTGTCCGTCACAGTATATACAGTAGCGCAACTCTCACGATTTCACCGTGGATAAAAAATGAACTGCACATGCGCGAGCGAGGTATGTAACCAATCAGGGCACTGATATTCCATCTCGCTTCTTCTCTTTGTTGTCGCTGTCTGTCTGCACCGTTGAGATGTCCATATAAGGGATTTATATAGCCATTTAACGGAAAGTGACAGGAGTATGTATTATATGAGAAATAATAAAGTGATACGTGTGATAAAGTAATTAAGTGATTAAGTGATGTGTTTAGTTATAAGTAAATATTCAGTGAATACTTATAATTAAAAAAGTTTAGTGTTCAATAAAGTGCTTAGACTCGACGTATCTAGGAAAAGCAGAAAAAACCAGATAAAGGTCGAATTTCTTTACGGAGAATAGTTTATCTGTACAAAAATTATACAGATTTTCGATTTTCTTGAAGCACTTTGATCTTAGCTTTGTGTTGCAGATATTATTTTGAAAGAACATCATAAAGGATGGAAAAGAGGTTAGCCCAGAAATCAAACGGATGGTGTGTTGTCAAGGAATGTAATAAAAATAATGTGGAAAAACGACACTTGTTTCGGTTTCCAAAGGAACGTGACAGGTACAATTTCATTTTGTTTATTATTTTCTAAAACACATGAATTTATAATATATTCGATACATATGCACATATATATTTACATTATTTCATGTTTCTAAATTTCTATATACATGTATATACATATATATATATATTAGATTTATATTTATGTGTATTATTTTTATTTATAATTACAATACAAATATAATATTTACAGATGCAATAGATACATGCGTGTGAAAGATTGGATTTGGAAGCAATGGGTGCAGAATATGCCCATCGTAATTATCGAGTGTGCCACTTACATTTTGAAGAAAAGTGGTACAATATAAGTAAGACTAGAGCTCATCTTCATCCA